AAATGAGCAAGAACGCTCATTTGTACATCATTCTGGACAGAAATAAATGGCCTTTTTAGAAAGTGAACCATGGATGGGGAATTGTTGGCAGTTTTTGGCATCGTTGGATAGAGAATTGAAAAGTCGACTCAGTCGTACACAGAAAGCGAAATATGAATATCAAACACTTAGGTTCAAGATTATGCCAAAATTTCATGTTTTCCGTCTCGTTTTTGCTCATTTCTCGGAGGCAATTTAAATGCAAAATTTAAAAAATCATAAAAACCGAGCAGGAACTCAGAATATATTGAAATTTTGTACACGTAAAGGCCGAGGTTTGTTTTACTAGTATTGAAATTTTCAGCAGTAAATTTTATTCAGTTTGCGAGTTGTGAATTTTTGACCACTTCTCCAACTATTTCCGGTCATGAGCGCCCATTCAAAAGAACTTAGAAACTCAACAGGAGCTCTGAATCTATCGAAAGTATGCACATTTATGAACTAATCCTTCTTTTGCCAACGTTTAACCTTGCAGCCTTAACTCAGGAGCAATTTGTGAGTCATAATTTTTAACGGAAAGAGCGCACGTTTGCGAATTTTTCGAAATTTGAGCGTCGTTTCAAAAAATCTTGAAAACTGAAGAAGAGCTCTGAATCTATTGCAAATCTTAGTTTTGCTACAACAAAAATTTTACTAAATTTTACAAAAACACTACAAATTTTTCTAAATTTGGACCCAAATGCTGTTTATCGTTTGCGAGATGTAAATTGCTAMGCAAAATTGCGCCCGTTTGCAACTATTTCTAGATTTAAGACGAAATTAGAACCAAGTTTTGAACCAAAACWTGGGAAAATGAATTGAATTACTCGAAAACAGTAKTATATACAGGGTGTCTGATTTGAAGCAGCAAAGTTGATGCAAACGAACTAAGTCGCGTTTTCCGTATACGTTTAACCTGGCATCAACCGTGAGCCATCCTGTATAAGTAGTGAAAGTGTGCCAAACATTCGTTAATAGTACACTCTAATAGCAAGCAAATGTGCAGAGATTTATACGTTGGAGTTAACCACTTACTTTCCGAAAGCTTCTCCTTCGGCCAAAGTTTCCGGCAGCTTCTTATTCAGCGTCTCTGGTAGGAGTAGCGACAAAACTCCACCGGTGAACGCTAGAACGCCGAAAACAAGCAGCGGAAACGGTTGCCAGATGCGAGCCTAGAAGAAAATTTTCCAAAAATTCCCAGAACAAAAAAAAAGATCCGCGAACTGACCATCACATTGATGTAAGGCGCCATAATTGAGCCCAGCCTGGCAAAGGTTGAACTTGCTCCCAAACCGGCGTTTCTAACAACTGTCGGAAATTGTTCGGCTGAGAAGATATAGACTGTGCCGTAGCTGACTGTGATCGAAATCTTTCCGATCATAGCTAGTGTGATTATTAGCCAAACCCAATCTGGAAAAGCACAGTTTTTTAACAATTCCCGCGAAAAGCAATATTGACTTACTGAGTGGCGTGGCGATGGTCAACAGCAGCGCTGAGCCAGCTACAATCATGCTGCCGCACAGTATCTTCTTCCTCCCCCACCTGTTAAGGGTAAGTAGCGTGAATATGTTGGCAGGAGTTTCCACAGCCCCGGAAATTACGAAGTTCAAGTAGGGGTTTCCGCCTAGATTGTTCGTATTCCAGCTCAATCCGTAGTACGTTATGTTGTTGGCGCACCTAAACAAGCAGCAATAAACAGCCGGTTTTTAGTGACCCTCCCGCCCGCTAGCTTACCAATCAAAAAAAATAATAAGAGATCGCTTGCGCAAATTGGAATGTTTGAACAGGTCCAGAACAGAGGCGGTTATCTGTGAGTCATCTTTCGTCTTATTCTCGTCCCCCTTCTTAAGCAGTTCGTCTAATTTGGCATCGGATATCGTCACTCCGTTCACTTTGGCACATTTCTGGATCACCAGCTTCGCTTCCTCGACTTTGTTTTTCGAGAGCAGCCACCTGACGGACTCTGGAATGAACCTAGAAGTCGGCCGAATGCATTTGTTATTGCAAAGAGTGCTTGAATTGGTGTGTGTACCGTCATCACGTCGCTGTGTGGGTACTTCACGTTTGCCTTTGCCTTCAATAAAGGCAAGAGCGTAAAAAATAGCGGAAGGAAAGTAAATTCAGATCATATAGTGCAGTCGTGTGGATGATCATCAATTGATCAGAGAAGGGACTTGAAAAAAATGTCTGAGTTGGTCGGAAAAGATCAGCACTTACCACCAGTAGAAGAGGAAAACGACTCCGGGCAGGGAAAGAGCCAGTTGCAAATGCCGCCAGTTGGGCAACAGCTTAGCTAGCAGAGCAATCAGCACGTAACCCCCGGAAAAGAATATGAAAACCACTGTGCCCGCTATCAAGCGCTTGGACGGTCCCACCATTTCCAGACCTGGATCGGGGGTAAAAATTGACAAACTTTCACAAATGTTTCGCTGCCTGCCTACCCATCACATATGCCACAAGGAAAACTCCGGAAGCAGCAGCGCCCAGAATCATCCGCGATACCGCAAACGTCCAGAACTCTGGAGCAAAGGCTGCTAAAACTCCAAACAGCACTTGCATAACCGACGCAACCAGGAAGGTCATTTTTCGGCCCCACCTGAAGT